TAGACTATTTTAGTATTACTAAAAGATTAATTAGTTTAGACACTAAGTGCCTAAAATACACTATATATAGCCTTATAAAAAGTAACTAGGCTAACCCCTTATAATTACCCCCCTTTTAATATAACGCGTCCTAAGTTACTTTAGGCCTACGTGCACTAGCGCTAGTAACTATACGCTAAAGCATAAGGTTATATTAACCCTAAAGGCCCTAGGCGCCTAGCACCTAGTAATAACAGCTAGGGGACCCCTAGCTAGCGCTAGGCTTACCTATTATATATTAGTCCCTCTAAGCCTAACGTAAGCTGCCCCTTATTTATACCTAGCTAACTAATCTATAGCTAGCTGCTAATTAATGACCTCTAGCCCCTTAAGGCCTACACTAAAGAGAGTCTTAATAGGTAGGATTTAAACCTAGCCCCTATTAACAGCTAGAAGACCTACTTAGTGCCTAAATAATTATAAAGGTATAGGTAGTGTGCTACGCCTGTTAATAGACTATTCTAGTATTACTAAAATATTAATTAGTTTAGGCACTAAGTGCCTAAAATACACTATATATAGCCTTATAAAGGGTAACTAGGCTAACCCCTTATAAATTATAGTAGACTAATTACTTTACCTATTTAATTAACTTACTTATTATATATATAATAGTAACCTTATTATAGAGATATTTATAAATATAATTCTTAAGAACTAATTAGAGCTACTATAAATAATTAATAAAAGAATTACCTTTTTTTATATTACTTTACTAATTTATAGTAGCTTATAGTAGTAGTTACTATAAAGTTAACTATAAATTAGTATTAGTTTTACTAAGTTAGTAATATAGCTAACTATATATATTAACAGATAATAATAAATAATAAAGGTAAATACTAGTTCTAAATTATATATAAAGAAGAAAAACTATTATAAGATTATATAGTAAATTAACTATATAATATCTTTATAAATCTAGTAGATCTATAGTAAATTAGCTATAGTTATTCTAGCTATTCTAGTGTTAATCTATACTACTAATATCTAGGTAATAATTAATATTATAATAATTATATTATAAAAAGGCTTTTAACTAGCTAAGCTATAATTAGTTAGTAGTTAATAGTTAAGAGACTAAGGCTTTAAGAAGGAGAATAATTCTTAAAGTACTAAGATAAGACTATAGTTAATCTATTATAGGACTCTAGTAATTAATTAGTAACTATTTACTATTTAATTATACTAAATAGAAATAATAGTTTAGACTCTCTAGCTAAAATTCTAGTTTAAAAAATAGACCTATTATCTATATCTTTCTACTTATAGCTAGAGATTTAATAAAGAAAATCTAAATCTAATATAAGTGTTAACGTACCTATATAGTAAGTTACAGATTATAGTAAGTTATATACTTCCTTATTATACCTTAAAGGGTGGTTTTTTAACTATTTATTAAAAATTAAAAGCTTAACTAAAATAGATATAACTTTCTATATAGCTTTTAATAAGACTTATAAAGCGATATTAAATCTCTAGAAAATATTATCCTACTTATTATAAGGGAATAAACTCTAAGCCTTATTAAGTACTTTAGATAAGGGTTTTTCTACTACTATTAAGACAATATTTTCTAGAGATTTAATACTACTTTATAAGTCTTATTAAAAGCTATATAGAAAGTTATATCTATTTTAGTTAAGTTTTATTCTTTAATAAATAGTTAAAAAACCACTCTTTAAGGTATAATAAGGAAGTACTTCACTTACTATAATCTATAACTTACTATATAGATATATTAAGGACTTTTAAGTATAGTAAATATATATATATATATATATATATATACTAGCTTATATAGTATATATAAATATATATAAAAATATAGTTTAGACTAAACCTATTTCTTAATATTTAGTAATATTTTTATTTTCTTTATAAGAAGTAAATCTAGTTTTATATTAAAGCTATAAAAAGTTAATTTCTAGTATAAACACTAATATATATTATATTTTATCTAGAGAAAAATATAATATAAATATAAAGTATACTAACTTAAATATATTAATATATAGGTATTAAAAGTAAAAACTATATTAAGAAACCTTTATAATAATCCTTAGATCTATACTATATATTATAAAAGTATAAGTAGTATACTATACCTATTAATAAACTATTTTAATATTACTAAAAGATTAATTAGTTTAGGCACTAAGTACTTAAAATACACTATATATAGCCTTATAAAAGTAACTAGTTACTAAACTACTTATAATTACCCCCCTTCTAATATAACACGTCCTAAGTCACTTTAGGCCTAACGTATATAATAAGTAAGCACACTAGATAAGTAAGTGCGCTACTAAACTATAACTATCTAACTATCTAACTTTTCTTTTTTATTCCTCTACTAATAATAATAAAATTAACTTATAATAAAGCCTAGGTATAGCTAGCCGTCTAAGCGTATAAAAAAGATCTAAAACTTAGTATTTAAGCTATAGTAAAGATATATAACGTTAGTTATAATTTAGTAACATGTTAATTAAAGGGTATACTATTATAATATAATATTATACCTAACTTATAGAATTTAATAAAACTTAAAGAGAGAAAGCTAGTTAAGTTTATTCTTAACCTAGATTCCTAATTATTTTCTCCCTACCTTAGTAGTATTAAAGAAATAGCTAATTAACTACTTACTAACTATAATACGCCTCTAGTTAGTAAGCACTAGGCCTTAAACTTTATTAAATAAACACTAAAGCTCTAAATATATATTTTTTATAAGTATAACTATAAGAGGGCTTAATATAAAGATCTAGACGTAATAAATATATAGTTTTACCTTATAGTAAATATAATTATAAAATATAGTATTATAAAGTCTAATATCTATAACTTTAATAAGACTAGCTTTATAATAAGCTAGATTATATCTAGAATAGTTATTATAAGCTCTAAAAGATATTTAAATATAAAAATAGTATAGCCTAGAAATTAAGAATAAGTTATAGTTATTTAGGCTATTAGTTTATCTAGTTATAGCGTCTTACTATATATTATTATTAAAAGTAAAAATCTTTTTTTTACTTAGTATATAAAATCTAGTCTTTTACCTAACTAGGTTATTATAATATCTAAAAATAGATAAATAATAAATAAAAAAGGCCTAAATTAGTTTTAGTACTTTAATTAATATTTAAAGTTATATATAAAAAAGAAATATTACTTTTTTATTATTAATAAGTATAAAAGTTACTATTTTATAAACTTTAAGCTATATTATAAAGAAAATAATATTATTACCTTTTATATACTACTTTATTTATTTTATTTACTTTAGCCTTTAGATATTAGGTGTTTTAGGCCTTTAAAGCTAGTATATAGTTAAGAAATTAAGGATAAAATATAATAAAGTAATACCTATATTATAAAAAATAACTTTTTTTTAGTATTTTATAACGCCTTTAAGTAAGCTCTTATAAAAGTAAATATTTAAGAAGGCTTTAGAGGGGTAAGGCTTATCCTTTTAAGTCTAAAAAGTATACTATTAAAGCTAGATATTAAGTTATATACTTTAACACCTCTAGGATCCCTTCTAATAACACTACTAGCTTAGACTTTTTAGACACTATATAATATAATAAAGATATTTTCTTAAGGAACTCTTATTAAGGATTACTTTATTAATTATCTAGATAGCTCCTTAATATATAGATTAATAGCTACTAAGTATATTCTTAAAGGAGCGTTAAGAATTATATATAAGAATACTTTATTAAAGGCTAAAGTTAAAACCTTTTATAAAAAAAATAACCTACTTAACTAATATAAAAAAGTAAAAAAAACTTATCTAAAGTAAAAAAGAAGTCTTAGTGTAGCTAATATATAGGATATTTAGTTATAAAGAGAGGTAATAACCTAGATTAAGGAGGAAACACGTTAGAGTAGTAGTTATAGATTAAGGACAGAAACAGGTAAATAGTAGTATAGCACCTATAGGAACGCTAGACATAATACGTAAACATACTAGTTTAATAAAGAAATATCTAAAGAATAGGATTCTAAGTAGTTTAAATTAATTTTATTATTTTATAGTTACTTCTTAGTTGTATTTATAAGGTAGCTATAATTAGGTGGCGCACTTGCTTGTCTAGCGCGCTTGCTTATTATATACGTTATATATACTAGTACTAGTAACTATATACTAAAGCATAAGGTTATATTTACCCTAAAGGCCCTAGGCACCTAGTACTTAATAATAGCTAAGGGACCCCTAGCTAGTACTAGGCCTACTTATTATATATTAATCCCTTTAAGCCTAATATAAGCTACCTCTTATTTATACCTAGCTAATTAATTTATAGCTAACTAGTTACTAATTAATAAATACTAGCCTCTTAAGGCCTATACTAAAGAGAGTATATAATAGTTAAGATTTAAACCTAGCACCTGTCTAGCTAGAAGACCTACTTAGTGCCTAAATAATTATAAAGGTATAAGTAGTATATTATACCTGTTAATAGACTATTTTAGTATTACTAAAAGATTAATTAGTTTAGGTACTAAGTGCCTAAAATACACTATATATAGCCTTATAAAGGGTAACTAGTTACTAAACCCCTTATATATATTAAATATAGAATTTATTATTTTAAGTTAAGTCTTATAATTACTATATTTAAAAAAATATAAGTCTTTATATAAAATACACTTTTTACTTTTTACTTATAGCCCTTAGCTATATATATATATTTTTATAGTTATTATAACTATTAATCAAGTATTAATAATTATAATTAGGTAATAGTTAACTTTAATACTTTAATAAGTAATAACTTTACGTAATAAGATTTTCTATTCTCTCCTTTTATTTTCTAACACTACTTTTTTGTCTAGTACTATGTTCTTATGCGGCCTATTATCCCCCTGAACACGATAAACACTTGGTGTAATGACCGAATGCTTGGAGCCGATTTTGCCAGCGCCGTTGTCGAATCTGGCACGACAATATGACGCGGATTTGTCGTCGCCGTTATCCTTCCAGACGCCTACCGATCCTCTTGTTGGCACTGGTCGTTCATTGTGCCCAAGTATTGTGCCAAGCGTCGAATATCCTTGATGGCCAGGCGTCCGTCTGCGAATTCAAGACTATCAACTACATTACCCATACACTACCGCAACAGTGTTTAAAAACAAGCTGGCCGGGCCAGAAGGGACCTAATGAAAGTGTACATCCCAATATCGATGATCCGCGGGCCTCACCTGACGACTCTACAAATCCCTTTGGTGGTCACCACAATGCGCCTGGACCAAGCCCTTCAACAACCGGTCTCTCCACAGATGCGACGGACGACAATGACCCCACACCGAGACCGTTCATGTCATTTGAGGACTGGAAAGAAATGATGTTGCGCAAGGCCGGACAAGACCCCTCGGATCTCAAGTCTCGAAAGTCACTAGATCGTACGATCGAAGCCGAAAGGGTCGCAAGGAGCTCAGGTCTAGACAGTATTGGGGATGATGGAGAGATTGATCTGAACTTCGACGTCGTGTCAGAAAAAATCAGCAACATCGCATCTGCTCCCCAGGCAACGCCGACAGAAATTGCAGCGTCCGAGCTACAGCAAGAACCAGTGCTCTATGACGACGGTCGGACTCAATACTACCGAAGCAAGGATGCAGGAAAGACCTGCAAAGAAAGGTTCTCTTATTCCTCCTTCGACGCTGGCGCGACAGTGCTGAAAACCAACAAAGGGGCAAAGAATGCAAAAGCCATACTCGTTGAGAACAAGGACTCGTATATGCTGCTGGAGTGCTCAGCCGAGAACAAATTTGTCATTGTTGAGCTCAGTGACGATATTCTGGTTGACACGGTTGTACTGGCCAATTTCGAATTCTTTTCAAGCATGATACGGCACTTCCGGGTCAGCGTAAGCGACAGGTATCCTGTCAAAGTCGACAAGTGGAAAGACCTGGGCACCTTTGAGGCGAAGAACTCTCGTGACATTCAACCTTTCCTTGTTCAGAACCCCTTGATCTGGGCAAAGTATGTCAGGATCGAGTTTCTGACTCACTACGGCAACGAATTCTACTGCCCGGTCTCCCTTCTTCGTGTCCATGGCACGCGGATGTTGGAATCATGGAAGGACCAAGAGACGCCTGCTGAGGATGAAGATGTGGATGAGCCAGCGACTGAGGTAATTGGACCTGCGCAAGATAACACCATTGGCGACACTGTTGAAAGGCAAGATAACACAACGACATCGCCTCGCGGTGGGGCAGCAATAGAGGTGGAACCCGCCGTTTCGGTAGATCCGCTGATGCCTATACATATATTCCGTCTTTCCGGGGATGAAAACGCCACCTGTTTGTCATCGGCTGCCTCCACCTACATATCAAACGGAAGCTCAGCGAGCGCAGGATCGCTAAGCAAGACGCAGGGCGACTCGGATCATGCCACAATTCAGATCAGATCTGGTATGGAAAGGCTCTTCGACCAGATTCCCGAGGAAGAGTTTTCTGCCTCGACGACTGATGGTCGCCACACTGAAGGAAACACAGTGCCGTTACCTGTCACGTCTGGTTCTTCGGCCACATCTCAAAGTAGCGTTAATTTGGATATGAAGGCTGGGGGGGCGAGTGAGAACTCCAACGGTGGTGCATCTGCCACAAGAGTACCTTCGCAAGCCACCACACAGGCTCGGAACAAGAACAACTCAACCGCGGCACCGGCATCTCCCACTGTTCAAGAAAGCTTCTTCAAGGCAGTCAGCAAGCGTCTTCAATATCTCGAGTCCAACGTGTCATTGTCACTCAAGTACATCGAGGAACAGTCTCGGTCTCTGCAAGCTACTCAACTGTTGGCCGAGAGAAAACAACTGTCCAGGATAGACCTTTTCCTAGACAGCCTTAATCATACTGTGCTTTCAGAACTGCGGACCGTTCGTCAACAGTACGATCAAATCTGGCAGTCCACCGTCATCGCGCTGGAGAGCCAGCGGGAGCAGTCACAAAGGGAGACGGTGGCTCTTAGCTCTCGGCTTAACATTCTCGCCGACGAGGTTGTATTTCAGAAGCGAATGGCAATTGTACAGGCGATTCTACTCCTGTCCTGTCTTATACTTGTCATATTCTCTCGAGCCATGACTCAGCCCATCCTGACAGGCTCCTTTGACTTGGGACGATCGCCGAGTCGCAACAACCGGCTGCCTAGTTCTTCCCTAGATCGTGGCCTTGGAGGTGCGTACATCCCTCGTTATGACAAGTTTGGGCGGCCGTTAGACAACGACCATACTGGTGAAGTCGAACTATCCGACAGGAATCCGGATATGCATCGGCCAATACCAGAAGCATCGACCCGGCTTCTCACGCCGGCATCAGAGGCTCGGTACAGCCACCGCCCAGATACGGCCATGACACCGGAGCTACTCCCGGTCGAAGAGTTCATGGAGAGTGACCCCGACAGTAGCTACCGCGAGTCTTCGCCCGATTCTGATATTCGCTCTCCTGCGGACGAGACATTTGAAGTGAATAACTCCGGGCAGACTGATCATGAGTACCCATCGGAGACTCAAGGTCAAACGACAGCGGCCTTGGCAGATTCTGTTTCTATGTATACCCGTGGCTCCCTTTCTTCTACGCTCCGCAAACCACTCCCGGCGTTACCTGAGTATCCACACTGAGAACCACCAGCCCGATATGGCACCTTGAATACATTGCAGCTTTAGGTCAGCTAGTCAACTAGCATTATCGTTGGTTGGGCCTTGCATCGCCACCGCCAATGGTCGATTATCCTTGCTAGCGGGCATCTTTATACACCATATCGTTTAATCATCATGTCCTCCGTGGATGGGATCGACTGTAGGCCTAAGAGAGAAGCGGTCCGTCGATGATGGCTAGTTCCCTCGATGAAACACAAGCAAAGGGTGAAGCGGTGTGGATGGTTCACAAGAAGGTCTTAAACGAACGCAGCCATTATATCCCAGTAGTGTCTAGCAAGGCATTGATGATTACACGTTGATGACGCTTTCAGAAAGCTCCTGTATATGTAGCAAGCAAAGCTTAAGCCCGTTAAGTGGACAAAACCTTGAGGGTGTGCAAATCTTCCACAGTAGTATAACGACCTCGGTTGCTTCTTCCTCCGTAATCTCTTCCAAGTAGTGTCGATCAAGTGTCTTTCACTGTGAGTGGTAAATGTACAGCTGCATCGAGGCATCTAAATCATGCTCCTCGAGCGCAGCCAGTCTTGTGCCTCTGTCATACTGGGAACGCCTGCGACGCTGCTCGTCACGGAAATGTTGTCCAGCGTTGGGCGTGAAAAGGCCTGTATGGCAATGATCAGCGGAGTTTGTTGTGCGGCATGATTTAAAGACATCGTACCAACGTGCTCAGCATTTTCGCAGCTGCGCTTCATTTTGGACTGGTTGTCCGGCTGGGGAAATGGCTCCTCTTCTCCTGCCAGTCCAGGGACGGGTCCGTTGGAAGTGTAGAACAACTACGCTTATGTCAGTTTCACAGTTCTCGTTGTGCAGCGTAAGGCCGTACCTTAGGACGATAGTGCGCAGCTTCCAGCATCACGGAGCTGTTCCTGAACTTCTGGACAAGGCAGTCTTTGCCCTGGATGGCTTTGGGGCCATGTTAGCTTGCGTTTTGACCCGACCTTTTGCATTACAATACTTACTGGCGTATGAAATCTCAGCGACCTTGTCGCTCTTGAAGCAATTCCTGTCATCGTTTCAGCAAAGCATATGCGGTCAGGCAGAAAATAGTAGCCTACCATCTTTGGTTGCCCCTGGTATTGACAAACTGGGTTCCTATAGTCAGCTCATTCTTGCAAATAAGGGCAGTTCTTGCTCACATCAATGATATCCAGGGGCTGGTGAGGGATTGATTAGCAGACACTCATCGTAATCTCGAGGAAAAGAGACTTACGTCAACGAAATTGATGAACGCATATCCGACACTTGAGGGCGCACAATATTAGTTCAATCTCATCTTGTTGCAACAAGTGGGGTGAGAACATACTTGCAATCGTTCGCAAAGTCGATCCGTAGATACATGAAGTCATACTTACCCCAGCTGGACTCGTCGACAATTCTCTTGAGCATCGCCTGATCGACCTTGTTCGGAATATTCCGGAGCATGATCTGGCTTTGTCAGTCAGGAGCATGACTTATCAAGCTTTCTATCTCACCGTCGTGCGGACATCTATTCCCTCCCGAATACGATTCACATCGACATGGTTGTGGTGACTCGCTACGTTATAGTAGGGCGATCTATTGACTCGAGCTGCGCCCTGCCTGCGAGACTCGTTCCTGGAGATGGGCGACATAGAACCTGTAGCCGACACGGTATGTGAAGAATGAGAGAACACAGGGCCGGAAAACTGGTATGCGGTTGGACTGGACATAGCAGGTGCCGATGGCAAACGTTGACCTTCGTTGAGCAAGTAGGGACCATGAGGTTGAAATTGCGGTTGACAGAGAATCGGCCACATGGCGAAGGGAGGGACCTGAATACCAAAGGGCGAGTAGGGGGGGTTGGGCCCGGACATGGAGGCACTATGAGGCACCATGTGCATTTGAGGGGCTGGTTTAGACAAAGCCAATGCCTGCAGGGTGTTGTTCAAATCGCCAGACATGCCGTGGCTGAGACTGTCGGGCGTTGCAACTCTATCCTGGGCCATGTGAGAGATGTCACTGGATTCCACGAGCGAGAGTGTCATGTGTGCTCCCTGGTCAATGGTCAGGTTTTGCTCGGGATGAAGGACGTATATGTCAGATAGGCTGTGGGCACTCACCTCGACGAGTTTGTTGTCAAAAGAAACCACTGCGGATGCGGCTCTAGATGGATCATGGAACTGACTGAAGGCCCTGAATACCGAGGGATCGTAGCTATGCTGCACATAGAATGCAGAAAGCTGACCTTGTGAGTCTAGCATACGTTTGATGACCGCTTCAGTACGAGACACATCCAACAAACCCGGGGGGCTGGCCACAACAACCACAGATACCCAGAGGTCGAGGTTGTTGGACTCTCGATGTACATGCTGTATAGAAATTAGTGATCAGATTTCACACGAAGGGTGTGAAAGGGGACACACCTCGTAGAAATCACCATCCGACAGATAGTCGGCTTCGTAACCGGCTCCCACTCGGTGTATGTTGTCGCGTACAAGGACCGCATCGCGGATATCACTAAACTGAACGTAGAGTTTACCTCCCTTGCACTGAATCTGAGTCGGCTCCTGGACCGAGAGTCCAAGACGCTGCAGTTTCTGCTTGCTGTTAGTATGTTTCCCTGAAGACTCACATTGCAGATGGATGCCTTACCGCGAAACATGCATTCAGGTCAGCAATGCCGAGATTTCGGCCCGGTGAACAAACGCTGAGACTTCGAGATAGTTCAGCCTCATACTTCTGGCCTGGCAAGAGTGATTGCTGGTTGCGGTCAGGGGTGGGGTGGTTTCTGTTCTTCTCCGGAGTGCACGAGAAAGGCTGGAAGGTCGAGGCAGTCGGCGACAGCTTCTGATGGCCGGAGTTAGGTTTTACGGCGATGAAAGGATCTTTCTCGGCACTAGACGTGACACTTCCGAATGCACTTGTAGAGTACCTGGAAGGAGTGGTTTCTAGTGAATCTTGTGATGTGGACTTCAAGAGACGAGAGGATCTTGTTGATCCTCCCTCCGGAGAGAATGCGGTCAATCTCGTGTCTGGTGTACCTTTGAAGGACTCGGCACCTCCAATGGAGGAACGCGGCGAAGATGGATTGAACATATCTGTCTCTCGACTATGGGCCATGCCGTCTGTGTCTCGAGTTGATTGTTGTTAAGTGCCTGGCCGAATTAGCACATGAGACTTTGCTAGGAACGTGACAATTTGGAGCTAGCAGGTAGAACTTCGAAGATAGAGCTGCGTGGAAGGAGGGGAACTGACTAGAAAAGATATGATTATGAGTTCAACGTCGAACAATGAACAACAACAGTACCTCGAGCTTTGAGGTTGATCACACGCAGCTATGGCTTACACTAAACGGACTTGACGTCAAGGGGTACCAGTCAGCCGTGAATCGAAAACAAGTGTAATGCCTGGGACGAAAGGTAGGATATGCGTGACAATGAATAGACGAGGGGGGGTAGGGAGGTTACAGAGAAACAGCGTTCGTAGAGGTTGCAGAAGTGTAGAACAGGCGGTCTACTGGCGTCGCGGTTGATTGAGTTCGACTGAGCCACCTCGAGGTTCAAACGGTGCGCTTGTAAGAAGGTAGCTCGACGGGGGTGGGACAAGGCAGAAGGTTGGTATTGGGTTAAGTAAAAGCGACAATGAAGTGAAGATGCATGGGCGAGAAGAAAGCAGGGCAGTGAATATTGCTACGCACCAGGAGAGAGCGTGTTGTTCGTGTCGGGTGGTCTGGGGAAGGCGCCGTGAAATGGAAGGCAGCAACGGGGAAGAGCTGACTTACGAACGCCTGAGTAGGTAGATGAAGATGAGTGGAAAGTACGTTCAACTCCTCCTTCCTCGTCTATTACCAATAATTATTCTTGACATCGAGCTGTCTGCGGCAGTTACGCGGCCTGGAAGTGGGCACCTCACAGTTCTGTCACTTTCTACCTTCCTCGCCTGTTTCCCTGGCTTTCCTGTAATGTCTCTCGTCGTACTGCATCGCGAGGCTGTCACGCCCTTCCTCGTCATGTCATTCCTTTTCTCTTTCTTGCTGCTTTTCTTTCCCCCGGCATATACTCCCTCTGCACCGTGAAGGGAAGACATGCAGACCAAGCCAGTTTGGCCAGCATTCCAATAAGAATCACACAATTGCAGGCCCATTAGGGTTCCTTCGCTCTTACCAAGGAGGTGCAATATGATATTTATTTGGATCACTGGGCAACGAGAACATCTTGTTAATATTCATGGGCTCTAGAGTGGAATCAGACAAGATGTCATTTTCGAACGGGAAATTAAAAGAGGACACGGCCAAAATATAAGTATCGTCTGAATTTTCAGGTAAAGCAGCTTAAATAGACATGGGCAGATGGAAACTGTTGAATGTCGTCTGTTTTCGGCAGCTGTCCCCCTTCTGCATGTAGTCATTGATTGCTATGGTGCATGGCGACGAGTTTCGCCCGGATAGACAGGGGTCTTACATGTGGGCATATGCATTACCTACATAGTGGTACCGAGCCAGCCAAGACCCACTAAAGAGGCTCATCAGCTGCTGTCACTCCACCAAACCGAGCTAACATGCATGTTGTCTTGTCCGCCGACATCACCATTCCATTTGGCGCAACCTCACCCATCCAACATTAATCCGGCAGGTTTCTGTCTTTACACCACCTTACCTCACCATAACGAGGTCAAAACAGTGGCAATAGATCGGTCGCATATGACTTCATGACCTGATTCTGCTGAAAATTGCATCCATATTGAGGTCAACGAGCCGCCGAGGATTGTCAAGATCATGGCCCAAGATGCCTCGACGTCCGCAGACCTATGATGACTACGGCACAGCCGTCCAGCAGGTTCCTCTCCATTATCAGTTACGATTCTTCATATTAGTTTTAGATAGCTGACTTTGACTCTTTCAGATCATCCTGACTTCGTCCGACACGGATTTCCTCGATCAACTGATCCCTGTCCTCAAAGATGCCTCCCACTCCAACCGAACCCCCTCGTTGATGCAAAATCTTGTCAGATATGCCGAGGATAGAGAATCAGATATTGAGAGGATAGGTCTGACGAAGCATGAGGAATTCCTGAGCTCAGTGAATCAACTCCAGGTCGTACGCGAGGGCACTGTCACGCTCACAGCAGAGATCCTGAGGCTGAATCAGTCAATCCAAGCAAGCACAGAGAAGCTTGCCGACCAAAAACAGGCTCTGGTAAATACAAGAGCTGTGAGACAGAATATTGCCGATGCATCCGACGCCTTGAACGAGTCTCTCAAAATATTGCATGCTGTCAACCATGCCCACGACCTGATCCGCAAAAAGAAGTACTACGCAGCACTCAAATCCCTCGAGGACCTGCAGAATGAGCATCTGATCCCGACACTTCAGAATAAATATGCCACACAGCACAAGCTGGCTGATGTTATTCAAAAGTCAATACCGGCGTCTCAGAAAACTATTTCCGAAGCTGTCATGACAGACCTCAATACCTGGCTGTTTCGCATTCGTGAAACCTCGCAGTTCCTCGGCGAGGTTGCCTTCTATCACACCGAACTTAGAAGGGCGAGGCAGAGGGAACGCGTGGAGCGTGACATTTATTTGAACAACTTCAGACTCAACTCGTCTATTGAGCTGGTCTTCGATGAGAGCGAAGAGTTTGACGTGCTTGACAACGAGGAGCTGCAGGTTGACTTTACCCCGTTGTTTGAATGCCTGCACATCCACGACGCCTTAGGTCAGAGCGACAAGTTCCGTGCCGAGTATGCCACCACTCGCCGACAGCAGAAAGACTTGCTATTGCCAAGTACGGTTGGGCTTGTTGCAGATGACGAAACTTCACTCAGTAGTTTGCTCGAAGGCATCGCCGGCTTTGCCATCATCGAAAAAGCGACTATGCGACGTGTTCCTCATCTTCGCTCTGCTGTTGATGTAGGTTCATGGTCTCCAGATACTTATCTATTGTTGACGTGGCTGCTAACACACGATGAGGTGGACGAGCTCTGGGATTCAATGTGCCATACGGCCATCACTCTCACCTCGCAGGCGCTAGATGAAGTAAGCAATGCTGAGATTCTACTCAAGATCAAAGGCGTGATAGCCTTGTTCATCCAAACCATGGAGGTAGGGCCTCCCCTATTCCCTGATCACCCTGACGCTGGCTCCTGAAACTGAAGCTCGACAGAGTTGGGGCTACTCTGTGTCCATGCTCGACAACTTTCTCCTCACCTTGTTCGACAAGTACGCCGAGCTCCTCAAGCGCCGGTTTAGCGAAGATTTTCAGGAGGTAAGAGTTTTACATTCCGCCTATGTGGTGCACCACGTAACTGATAAAACAAGATTGTGTCGACCGACGATTATATGCCCATGGCCATTAATACTCGGGAGGAGTACGAGAAGGTGGTGAACGTCAGCTGGTTTTCTCAAGACAAACCTCTAGAAGAACTCAGGTATAATTTGTACCCATGTGGCGACGTCAGTCTAATCCTAACGCTTATCCAGCTTCCCCTGCGTCTTGCCATTCTCGCAAATGTACCCGCTCTGTTGTATCGATATTCGAAACTTTCTGAACCAGTTTTACTTCTTCTCGGACGACCACTTCCAGCATCCCAATATCATCGACGATACACTCCGCAAGGTAATTAAATTAACGAGCTTAAGAATTGAAATACTTTGCCTAAGAAAATACACGGCTAACTTGACTATTCGCAGTCGCTAGATGAACTTTTGATAGAGAAAGTCTGCAAGTCACTTGTTGAAAGATTGAGCTCGCAGTATCTTGGGCAGATTGTACAGATTCTTATTAACCTGGAGCACTTCGAAGCTGCTTGCCAAGAACTTGAGCAGCTTCTTATCAGAGCAAGATCGTCCACATCGGCTGGCGGCCCTGTCACGCTCGTTGCTACAGAAGAGTTCCGTAACAACAAGAAGACGGCAGAGAAGCGAATCTTCGAACTTGTCAACTCCAAGATTGATGACCTTGTGGATACCGCCGAATATGACTGGTATGTATCGCCAAAGGGGGACAGGCCCGACCGCCAGTTTCAGAACTACACAATCGATACTAGCTGACAACATCGAATAGGATGGCAACCACAACGTCCCCTGGTCCAAGTAGTTACATGCAGACCATGACCCGATATCTCTCCAATATCATGAACTCCACACTTCTTGGCTTGCCAAGAGAGATCAAGGAGCTCATATACTTTGACGCTCTTAGCCATGCCGCCAATAAGATTCTTGTGAGTTTTGATATGCAGGCGTCAATGTCCCAGCCACTAAGACCTTCTGTAGGCGTTGCCACTATCCCCTGATGTCAAACATATCAATACCAATGCAGTCGCAGCACTTGCAAAGGATGTGCAGTACCTTACGGAGTTTGTTGACAGTCTCGAAAATGGAGCTATGCTCCGAGAGAACCTTGACGAACTCCAACAAACCATTAACCTTATGCAGTCCGACAACCACGACGAGTTCTTTGACATTTCCATCCGCAACAAGAAGTTTGGTCGTGTTGACGCCTTGAACGGACCCATGTTGCTAGAGAAGTACGTTCAGGCGTGCCACACTATCCGAAGTCAAGTACTGACCAGCATGCAGGCTCACTTCTAATGCCCAGGGCCCTACCCGCAGCGCTCCTCTTGCCAACTTCTCGTCTCGGTTTGGTATGATGAAGTAAGGTACATCTGCTTTGCAACAGCTACTGTATGGGTGTGACCACCTGCGAGGCGTTCAGGGAGGGCCATAGCTCCAACGTCACTATATTTCAAAGCTCACTACAGCCCAAAAAATCATCTGCATTTCTCTCACGGACATGATCGGACTGGCCACTATTTAGACCAGTCTCTTTACTCTGTACCCGGCCACTGCCATCTGGAGCACTTCATCCTCGGCCACTGGTCGACCTGACCGATACCGTTACATCATGATAGCTCTCGTCGCTAGTAATGCCTTCAACGCCGCGACGCCAGACCCAAATGGAAACAATATCCGTGCCTTTTCTCTTCAGCCTTGGCAGTCAAGGAGAGAGAAAGACATTCATTTTATGCAACTTGCAACTGAGCAATCCTACTCAAATTCCTCGGTGGACATGGGCGGCTAGGGGCAAGTTAATCGATCTGCGCAAGACACCCATAGCCTGAATCTACTCACCTGCTGGGGCTGCATCCCTCCGTATCCATACATGCCCTCGATCTCGCCATACATGGGTTGTTGAGCTTGACCGTAAGCAGCTGAGGGACCTGGCTGTACTTGACCAGGGTACATGTTGGGGTTCTGCCGGTAGTCCTGGTCGGGGCCAAGGGCATGGCCGGCAAGGCCGTAGTCGGTCGCGGCCATTGGATGGGAGGAGGAAGAGTGGTTAGCACCTTGTTGCAGGGAGCCGTGCTGACCCGGCATCTGAGAATTGGTTTGGGCCGGGACGCCTTGGGGAGTAGGGGCGGCTTGGCCGGTAGTCCTTTTAGCGTGGGACGAGGCCTCTTCTCGAGGAACGATGTCGATGAGGAAATCAAACATATCGGACTTGGCTAGCGCAGATGCGATATCAGATCGCTGCAGAGTCCTTCGCTTGTTCTCCTCGGCGTGAATCCAGGCGCGCATGGTGAGCTCAGTGATGAAGATGTCGCAGCCCTTGGCGAAGAGGATGGGCGCTTCAGCGGAGATCATCTTGACTTCTGGGTCAGCTTTCATGACCTTCTTTATGCGGGCCAACGGTAGCTGATGCAGCTTGTAATCGTGGTTGTCACTCTCCAAGTGGTTGATGGTCTGTTGCCAATAGGTTGTCAGGATGTCCTTATACTGTCCGGTCAACCCCTGATGAACCTGTTTTTATGGAAGCGCGTCAGCTCGTCGGGTCTTCGTGTCGATATGGGGACCAGGCAAGATACGCACGTTGGCCCATGGACCAGTGTAGAGTTCGGCAGGGGCGAAGCCTTGGGCGGAAAGCTATGTACGGACATGGTCAGTCGTGACGGTTAAATCAGTGGAAGCCAGCCGTTGTGGCGGTTGATCAAGAACAATAACGAGGCGAGAGAATACGAACCGCAGCGCTCGCACCTAGGCGATGGGAGTAAACGTTAGTACAATGTCAACATGATGAAAGTAACTAGAGGAAGAGCGTGCAGTGCACGCGCTACGCCGGAGATGACAAGGGAGTAGAGCGCTGTTTCTCTATTCGTTACTTACCATAATGACCGCCATGGGTTGTATCGTACACAGGCTGGGGACGGCCCTGCTGAGCATGGGAGCCAGACTGGTTCTGAGGATCCATCGCGATTTGTTTGATGGAGTCGCGCGCGTCGTGATTGCAAGCAGTCAAGTTCGATTGAGGCAAAGTAGCGTAGCGTGACGCGCGCCGCAAGTGTTGATCAAAGCTGTGGTGAGGTAAGGGAAGGTCCCTCTCAGTCAGGTTGGTTAAATGGCGAGTTGGGTTTCGTGAGGTGTCGCGAACGAAACGTTGCGTGGGGTCGGCGCAATGGTGTTTGCGCGAGCAAGGAACGGTGTTTGCTCTGTAGAAATACCCAGCTGTTCAGCTATAGGTACCCGACCACCAAATGTGGGAATTTTGGCTAAGCTCACTAGTACCTCAAGGTACCTAACGCCGCGTGATTGTCCAACAGTGTAGATTTAGCAGCAGGCGGTATAGTGTATACCCGTGCTTACCTACCTCGATCACTTTTAGCTCCTTTCCCTGTGTGGTAGCTGAAGCTTGGCAGAAATAAATCCAGGTACTGCTAAAGCCCAAACCGATTGCGCCATGATGGTCTGCGACAGACAGTAGCAATTCTAATGCCATGCAGCCTAAGAGGCAGAACTGATGCGATGGTAGACTTATTCGCCAACACTACATAGTGTTGGACACATTATAGAAGACAAGGCGGGCTCGAATGCCATCTCATCTGTCAGCAACCACGATAGCAGTGTATACGACCGGAATGACGACCAGGCACGCTAGCCAGTCAGCTAGGCAGTATCTCTTTAAGTACCTGTGACTTTCGCTGCGGCAGACCCTAGCGTAGCTGCAGCCTGGCTACGGCTTCAGTACTTATCTACTGAACACCTTCGACACAGGCTTCGGTGGTTGGGCAGCTATTGAAGGGTTCGCCGGCCAGCCTCTTGGAAACCTGACCGCCTTGTTTGCACTGAGTTTGTGATGCATTTTCCCTGACAAGGGTCGGTTTGTTCATACGTTGAAGGTGTCAACTACCAGTTAAGGGGCTGAGAGAGTCACAAGTATGAAGCAGTCACGTATTCGTTTACCCTCTGTGCCATGCAGCAAGGTGACGTGGCGAGGGGATGAAAGCTCACGATGTAACTCCAAGATTCGAAATCATTGCCAAGTACTACGGCTTTGCCTTTCCCTCCGTCAGACGTGCTGCCTTGAGGCTGGAGGTTGATTGAGGGCAGTCATTGTCCAACCAGCCACAGAACAGAGCCACAGCATGTAAGACTCCACTCTATGACTCAGACCACCCCCAAAGTCGGGCCACCCCTAGATAAGATAGGAAGAAAGGATAAGTACATTAACTTAGCTATTTTCAAGAATTACACATAAGTTAAAAAGAGCAAGAACTTATAATTAGTCTTTAATAAGACTTATATATAGTAAATAAACCTAGATTAATTCTTTATAAGTTTTTAGTAGCTTTATATAAGCTCTTATTTATATAAGTAGACAAGATAAAATAGATAGACTAAGATAGATATAATAAAATTAGTTATATATATATATAATAAGTAGGCTATCATAGTAAGCAGTCTGCTTTTTTTAATTCTATAGTATTCTTTTTAAATAATATTTCTCTTTATATAATAATATATTCTACTTTAATTAGAAGTTATATTCTTCTTATACTTTAAACTATTTAAAAAGACCTAGAACTATCTATATAAAAGACAGCCTTTATCTATAACGTTCTCTAAATTATACTATACAACTAAAGTAGTAGTTATGTTATATAACCTAAAAAATATGTAATTTTAATTATAATTACTATATCTAAATATATTAGTATATTAATTTGAAATATTTATACTTAAGGCTAATTTTGTTATAACTAAGTAGTAGACCTGCTTTTTAGGTTACTTAGAGGTTATAAACCTAGTTATCTTAGTAGTTAGGATACTATATTTATTACCTTATATAAGCTAAGAGGTATATATTTAATTTATATTACTATAAGTGTAAAAGGTAGACACTTAATAAAGTAGAGATACTCTTATTTACTTATAACTTTCGTAACTACTATATACTATAGCTAACTAACTTTAAAATAAATATAATATAATATATACTATATTTTAATATGTAAAGAACTTTATAATATAATAACTTTAAATAAAAATATAATTTTAGTATTAAATTAACTATTAAAAGGGCTTAGTTAAAGATTTTATAATTATATATAGCTAGTTTATACTTATATAAAACATAATTATAAAGTATAAGATATAAGATTATAATATTTATAATTTTAATAAAACTAGGTTACTAATAAGAAGATTATTATAATCTTTAATTATAAAAAATAACCTTATATAAAGTAGCTTACTAATTATAAATAGATATTTATTATTTAAGATATATTTATATATATATATATAGCTAGATAAAACCTTTAGATTTATATTATTATAGAATATAAATACTACTTTTTTTAGTACTAAAATAACTAATTCTTAGCTAAATATTATATCTATTAACATAAAAGTAAGTAAATAAAAAACAAGCTTAACTTAAATTAGTTAAACTATTTTAAGTAGTATATTAAGTCTTATATAAAAGATACTTATTACTTTTTAATTTTTAAAAGCTATAATAGCTATAAATTAATTAGATTTAATAACTATTATAAAAAGAACTATTACTTTATATCTCTTTTTGCTTATTATATAAGCTTTAGTCTTTTAATATAAGTTATTTTAGTATCTTAAAGCTTTTATATAGAAAGAAAATTAAAATTAATGATATAAATATAAATTTATATATTATAAAAATAACTTTTTCCTTACTTTTAAAGTAGTATTTTTTACCTTAATAAAAAAAGAAAGTATATAAGCTAGCTTTAGATACGCTAGTCTTATACTTTTTAACTTTAAAATTATTATTTCTTACTTAGATCTTAAGTTAAAAGTACTATTACTTACTAATTTATATTTATATAACTTAAGCTTATAAGATATAGAGATACTAACTATAGTACTAAAATATTTATAAAGTACTAGTTACTTAAAAAAAAAATTTTAAAAATATTAAAAAGACTTACTAATATTAATATATAATTACTAGTTATTACTAAAGTAGTAATATAGTTAACTATATATACTAGTAAGTAGTAATAAATAATAAAGGTAGATACTAGTTCTAAATTATATATAAAGAAGAAAACTATTATAAGATTATATAGTAAATTTACTATATAATATCCTTATAAATCTAGTAGATCTATAAAGAAATAATTATTAAATTTTCTTATAAATCTAGTAAATCTCATAATAAATTAGCTATAGGTACTTTAGGTATTATAAGTATTAATATATACTACTAATACTTAAGTAATAATTAATATTATAACACTAGTAACCTTCTAGAGTTCTAAAAATTTCCTTTATTTTCTACTTATTTATAAAGGGCTTAAAACGTAATAAAACAAAAAGCTAAAAAGTACTTAAGACATTTTATATATATAATATATATTATATATAAAAACTATTTACTTATTTATATCCTTAATTAACTATTTTAACTAATTAGTTTAGTACTTTATTTAGTAAAAGCTTTATAAATCTATTTACTAAGTTATTTCTTTTTATATTAATAAGATCTTATAGATCTTATATTACTTATATAACTAGTAAATTATAATAATATTAATTATAAGTTACTTCTTTTTAGTAGTATTAAGCTTTATAAAGTACTTATAAAAAAGTATAAGTTAATAAAAAGAATTATTAAGATTTATAATAACTTAAAGTAGTTAATAATTATTATAAGTATAGTACTAATTATATAAGTAATATTAGTACTAATAACTATACTATAGACCTTAAAGACTAATATACTATATATAACTTTTTATACTTTATTAAGCTAAAGTAACTAATATTACTAATAAGTATAAGTTTATTATTATTAGTAATAAGTTATATAATATTACTTTTACTACTAAGTATAATAATAAAGCTAAGTTATAAAACAAAACTATAGTTATTTTAAAATAATTTATAAATAAATA